ACTAGCTGCTCCACCCAGAGGGCCGAGACTGGAGCACACCCATGCACTGGCTCACACACCGCACACCTACTATGCGCGTGCCTGGCTCACACACCACACAATGTGCATACTCCTGGCTCACACGCTGCACACCTACTGTGTGCGCCTGGTTCACACACGGCACAGTGTGCATACTCCTGGCTCACACACCACACACCTACTGTGTGCACGCCCGGCTCACACACCACACAGTGTGCATACTCCTGGCTCACACACCACACACCTACTGTGTGCACGCCCGGCTCACATACTACACACCTACTGTGCATATTCCAGGCACACACCTACTGTGCGTGCGCCTAGCTCACACACCACACAGTGTAAGTACTCCCGGCTCACACACCGCACACCTACTGTGCGTGCACCCAACTCAGGTGCTGCCACCTACTGTGCATACTCCTGGCTCACACACTGCACACCTACTGTGCATATTCCTGGCTCACACGCTGCACACCTACTGTGCATACTCCTGGCACACACACTGCACACCTACTGTGCATGCACCTGACTCAGGCGCTGCCCAGCTAGGTGTGCCTTACCATGTGCCTGGCTCAGGTGCTGCACACCAACCCTGCATGCACACAGGCTGCACCCAGCAAGGGGGGAGAAGGCACTGGGGGAGGGGAACAGGGTGCCTGGGGTTGGTGGTGGCTGCTAGGGAATGGGGTGCAGCAGAGGGAGGAGGCAGAAGGCTTTCCTAGGAGCAAGAATCTGGGTCCCCAAGCACAGAAAGCCTGAGAGCCACAAGTGCCTTGTGCTGGGTCTGGACAGCGTCTGGGGTGGGCCTCAAGTGTCCCTGCCCAGAATGTTCTCCCAACCCCTGGAGCTGCTCTCCTAGATTCTGCTCACAACCTCAGCCCCTGACACACCCTGGCACACTGCTGGGGTCCGGGCCTGGTCAGCCTCCCTTCCTTATCTGTTTTCACAACATCTACCCTCCCGCCCCTCCCAGCCGTGGTGTGCCACTGAGAACGAGCCAGTACCCTCCCGCCCTTCCCAGCCGTGGTGTGCCACTGAGAACGAGCCCTACCTGTGCCCAGTGGGCCTTCCCTGGGGCCCCGGACGTCAGTGAGGGGACCACCACACCATGCAGTAAGAAGCCCTCCACCTCATCCCTCCCCAGCCAGGGCTGGATCTGAGCAACCCACAGCATTTAACCCCTGAGCTGCTGCGGCAGAGAGCTGTCCATGTGTGGCTCTGCAGAAGGGATGTGGATGGCTGGCCGGAACGACAGCGTAACCAGTCAGGGGGCACGTTGGTGCCAGCTGAGGCTCTGATACATGCTCCCTACCCCCGGTCCACCTCCCTGGGCTCTCACAGGTTAATGGCAGGTACGGCCCTGGAGTGTCTGGGTAGCTGGCCTGAGGCCCTGAGGCACACTGCGCCATGCAGAGCTGGACCCCACAGCCTGCTGTCCTTCCAGACCGCAGGGGCTCAGAGAGCACTCCAAGGGCTGGACCTGCCCAACAGCCAGGAAGGACAGAATTCCCAGGGAACTGAGGTCACAGGAAGACCAGGGTAAGCTGGACTCTGCCGCACCTCACATGCACACACGTGCACACTGGAGACACAGGCACAAAGACCACACGTGCAATCTGGCATCACACATGCTGACCCTTGCTCCTCATCACAGCAGGAGACAGGCATGGTGGCAGAGGGTGGGCACATGTGGGCCGTGACGGCTGTGTGCCCAGGCTGCTCCAAGCCACACCCGTCCGCCATCCTTGCCTCTGGCGTCTCCTGAATGGGGAAAGGTGGCGTGTCTGGGCTTCCAAAACAAGAGGTGGAACTGAGCGGCACCCAGCCCCCCTCTGCCCAGAGTTCCCGGATGCCCCAGGGCTTAACGGGGGAAGCGGGAGTAGAGGGGACAGGTGGGGACACCTCAGGGACTGAGGGGTGTGACCTAAGGCTCCAGAGGCCTCTGACCTGAACTGAGGGAGTCTTGGTTACACTTGGGGCCCCATCCTCGGGGGAGAAGTTGTGCAGCCCACAGGCAGGTCGGCTGGTGCTGACAGGCCCGGCGGGGTTGCTGCTCTTCAAGCCTGGGTGTGGGGTGGGCCACACTCCGGGCAAGAAGGCCCTCGCGGGCAGCGATGACGCAGAGCTCGGGCTTAGGCTCAGTGGAGATGGTGCTGCCCCGCTCCTGCCCTGCACTTGCCTTGGCTGGACACTTCCCACCCTGTCCTGTCACGTCGAAGGGCAAGGGAGGCAGATGAGGTGTCAGCGTGGGAGGTGGGGCCACTCAGGGGGACAGGCCAGGTCCTAATGTCCAGCCCCAGAGACAGAGGAAAGGGCAGGGAGAGCCCGGGACACTTGCCAGATGCCTCAAGGCCTGATGCAAACCCACCTCCCTGGAGCCCACCAGAACCACCGCAGAACAGTCCTGCTGCCCCGTCCTGCCTGTCCCACTCGGAACATCTTTTCCCTCCTGGATTCACAGATCTACAGGTAAACAGGTCGACAGCCACCTGGCCCCTCTCAGGGCAGGCAGCCTGGAGTGCGACTTCTGGCGGGTGCAGCTGAGCTCAAAGCCCCGTGCTGGCCCAGTGAAACACCGCTGGCCTGGTAGGTCCTGCCTGGACTCCTACCCCTGGGCCCAGCTCACTGCAGGGCCAGTAGAGGTCGGGGCGTGAATCCCAAGGCCCCTCTAGATCCTGGTGGGTACCAGCCAGCAGGTGCGACTGTGGTCAGACCCCAACTGACACGTGGGCCTCACATCACCTGGCTGGGTCATTAGTGGCCGACAGGGACCTGAGCTGCTCGGTGCCCATTTGCAAAGACTAGGGCGGCGTCCACACCTGCCCGGAACTGCCATCTGAGCAGAGCGAATGCACTTGCCCGCCCCGCCCCCGGAAGCACAGCGAGCAGGAAGACCACGCTCTCACGGGCCGTGCTCACAGGCTGGACGTCCCGCAGGAGACAAGCACAGCAAGAAGCCATCTGTGTGTGCTGCCGGAGGCCTTGGGACTGGCTGTGGAGGCATGCCCAGAAGCCTGCTAGGGCTCAGCCACCAACCTCAGGATGTGACCTGCGACCCTGGAGGTGCGAGAGGTGAAGGTAGTAAGTGAGGCGTCTGGCAAGGCCCATCTCCCCGGACCCTGTGCCAAGAACTCCCAGGCACCTTTCTGAAAGCTGACGCCTGCCACAGAGAAGTCTGCTGTGCCCCGTTGGCACACGGCTATACCCCATCCTGTGGAGACCAAGGAACCTAGCCTTACCCTTGCACCCCTTACCCCGTCAGAGACAATGCCTGCTGCAGCTGGCCTAGAAAACCCTTCCAGGAGCTTCACCAACCAACAGCAGTGCAGTTGCTGGCCGTGCCCTGTGGGCCTGGAGTGTCCTAATCACAGTCAGGTGGCCCCTGTCACTAAGCCTGCTGCTTCTTATCCTCGCCCACGAGCACCTGCTTCCTGTTGTGACCTGTGTGAGCCTACAGGCCTGTGCCAGCCCAACCTGAGCCAGAACATGCAGGAGCCAGCTCCCACCTGAGCCAGCTTACGCCTGAGCTGCGCACACCTGACCCAGAGCACACCTGAGCCAGCTTACACCTGAGCCGAGCACACCTGAGCCAGAGCGTACCTGACCCAGAGCACACCTGAGCCAGCTTACACCTGAGCCAAGCACACCTGAGTCAGAGCGTACCTGACCCAGAGCACACCTGAGCCAGCTTACACCTGAGCCGAGCACACCTGAGCCAGAGCGTACCTGACCCAGAGCACACCTGAGCCAGCTTACACCTGAGCCGAGCACACCTGAGCCAGAGCGTACCTGACCCAGAGCACACCTGAGCCAGCTTACACCTGAGCCAAGCACACCTGAGCTGAGCATACCTGACCCAGAGCATACCTGCACGCCTGAGCCAGAGCACACATTACTCAGAGCACAACTGACCTAGAGCACACTTGAGCCAGCTTACACCTGAGCCAGCTTACACCTGAGCTGAGTGCACCTGGCTCAGAACACACCCGAGCTGAGCACACCTGAGCCAGCTCGCACCTGAGCTGAGCATGCCTGAGCCACCTCACACCTGAGCTGGAGTCTACCTGGGCCAGTGCACTGCTCACAGACCACATCGGCCTCGCAGGTGCCCCATCTCACAGCTGTGAGAGTTCCCAGAGGAGGCGCAGGCTCGGCTCTGATGACCTGACCTGCCGGGCAGGCGGACAGTATCTTCCCAGATCTCACATCCACTCGGAACCTCTAAACGTGACCCTGTCTGGAAGCAGGGTCTTTGCAGATATAATCGAATTGAGACATGACCATGAGGGGGAGCCCTCATCCATGGACTGCGTCCTCCTCAGGGAACTCGGGCACAGACCCCCAGAGAGGGCCAAGGGACTATGGATGCAGAGACAAGAGGAATGTGGACACAAGCCCAGGGATGCTGGGGCCCCAGGAGCTGGAAAAGGCAGGATGGGTCCACTTGGAACCTGCAGAGGGGTGTGGCTGCCACAGCCTGACTGGCCTCTGGCCCCAGAACTACACGGGAAGGAAAGTCACTGAAGCCCCAGTTCGTGCTGACACGGCGGCCACAGAAAGTGACTTAGAACTCTGTGGACAGCACACTGAGCCTGCCCCCGCCAGCCCCTGGGTGTGCAGTACGCCAGGAGCTCGGGCACCTGGAAGAAGGCAGAGGCCCGAGGAGCAGTAGGGCAGCAGGGCGGCCAGGAGCTGGAGGGCATCGCTGCTGTGGTCAGGAGCAATCGCCAAACCTGAGTGGCCCCGTGAGCACAGAGGCAGACCAGCCGCGTCTTCATCCTCGGGGACAGCCTGAGGGCCACTGACAAAGCTCATCCTTTAAAACGCAACAAAAATGGAAAGGGAACATATTTGGATCTGTGAGCTTCCGTGGGAAGAGCAACGACTCGGTGGTCCCCAGCCTGCACAGCCTTGCTGACGGTCGCTCACGGACAAGCCCCTCCCCAGCACACCGCGCCCAATGCGACGACTGGAGACGGGTCTGAGAAGCAGGACTCGATTTTAAGGGACAGGAGTTTGTTCCCTCTGCACCTTTCTTTTTTACAAAAGAACATAATAACTTAGTTTGGGTTTTACAGTCTTTTCAGTCAGTCAGGGTGCCCTCGTCTGGGTCTGTGGGTGGGACCGCCCCAGCTGAGCCCTGGGCCAGGCCGACAGGTGCCCATGGGTGTGTGTCCTGGCATGCGGCCACGCCAGGGCTCATTCACCCCTACAGCCCACGGTGGCTCTCAGGGCAGGGGCAGTGCCCAGGCCGCCTGGCTCACTCCGCACCAATCTCACAGGGGTTCAGCCCCCTCTCCTCGGCGTCCCTGTACACCCTTTGGAAGTCCTGGAAGCGTGGGGCACAGCCAAGCCGGGCCTCCCCAAAGTGCATGTGGCCAGTGAAGAGGAAGTCGCCACGCCCCGGCCGCACACCACACTCCAGTAGCGTCGTGACGTGGCCCTGCCAGTGGCCGCCCCGGGGCCCGGGCTGGAACACCCTGCTCTTCTGCCGGTAGACCCTGCTCACACGCAGCTGGATGGCCGACTCCTGTTGCTCTGGCTCATGGGTGACGTCCTGGATGGAGCCCCGGACAACTGTGGAGGGAAGGAGACCGCAGGGTCAGAGGGTCCAGCAGGCACCGTGCGCCACCGAGGAAAGGCTCCCGGGACACCTGAGCACGCCTGGACCCTGGCTAGTGGGCCGCGAGGAGGGCGCCAAGAGACCCTGCCAGGACACACACGACGGGCCGGCCAGCCCCAACCCGGAAGCACACCACGTCTGAGCCTCTCCCAGGGGGTCTGCACAGACATCACGAGCGGGGACCCGTCCCTCAGATCCCAGACCCAAGTCTGCCAGGAATGCTGGGAGGCAAATGCTGGGGACACTGGGGACGTTTACAGAGCACTTCCAAGAAGAGAAGGTGCAGGAAAATGACAAAGGTCAAGAGCCCTCAGTGCATCACTCCCAGCTCCCGTGCAAGCCGACGGGAGACCTACTTCACGCAGAAGCCTGTCCTGAGCAGAGGTGGCAGGGCCACGCCCAGCGTTCCAGCAGACCTCCCAGGCAGGTCTGTCAGCCTGGAAGGGCCGTGGGCACGGGCAGCAAGTCGAGAAACCGGCACTCACCAAAGTCGCTGGTGCAGACGGCCAAGAGGACCTCGGTGTCACTGCAAGGGCGGCACGGGGCTGGGGAGAGAGCACAGGGTCAGGGGGCAGCCGGGGCGGGGAGAGAGCACAGGGTCAGGGGGCAGCCGGGGCAGAGCGGGGCGGCGCAACACGC